CTTCGATGACACCTTGTAAGTTGGTAGACGCTTTGGTGCCGACGGAAATGATGACGCTCGACAGTGGCGGGATGGTTACCTGCTCTTCTGTCACATTCAAGGCATTGTGAGCGACGTTGCAGTCTGACGCCGTTGCATTATCCGTGGACAGCGTGATTGACCTGGATCTTAGGTCGATGACTGCGCCTTGCTGGTCCAGGAAATCCATGCCTAAAATGACGTCTCGCGAGCATTGCTGCAGGACCACAAAATTCACAAAATACGTCTGGCTGTGAATCGTGACTCTTTCCGTGCAGGTTCCAGTCGGTGTTATAAGGTGGCCCCCTGCTGTTCGGATATCCGGTCCTTCCCATGCAGTCTTTACCTTCTTGAGCTTAGCGGCGAGGAAACCACTGATGATAGAGTAGTCGGCGCCGGTATCGACTAGGGCGGTGACGCTGTGGCCGTCGATGATCACGTCGAGGTTGGTGGTTCGTCGTCTGGCGTTCCGGTTAGGTCGGGGCGTCGGATCACGGCTGCGTCGGCTTGGTCCGGTGCTGCTATGTCGCGTCGGCGGCGAGGCTTTGTCGTAAAGACTCTGCTCAGGCGGCGTACTGCGACTACGTCGGGAAAGTTCGTGCGTCGTGGTCGTCGTCATCGGCAGCGGCGGCGGCGGCGGAGGAGAATCTTCGGCATTGCGTCGTGCAGCAACCGCACCTCCATCGGTTGCTGCCTTTAGTTTCCTGGGTAGGGGCTTGGGGATCGGCCCCGGTTAGGGCCGGTGTGCTGGCGGCGATCCGGGGAGACGTAGCGGCCAGGCGAAGGTGAACGGGATGGTCGTCGTTGTTGCCACTGCGATCCGGCGATGTAGTCGGCGATGTCGCGAGGTCGCTCACCTGGGCGCGGACGCGGCGCGTTCACGTCTAAGCCACGCAGTCCCATCTCACGGTACTGGCAGTAGCGGTAGGTGTGCCCGGCTTCGCCGCAGTGGTAGCATAGTGGGCGGTGGTTCGGGGTGCGCCAAACGTCAGTTTTCCTCGGCGAGCGCTGGATTACTGGCAAACGGGAAGGCGTCGGGGGTGGCGGCGGTGGCTGGCGACGAAACTGCGGAGACGTTGGGTCCTGGTGTTGGCGAGGAGCGGCGACAGGTCGTCGTGCAGTAGCGGCGTAGGTCATCGCCTCCGGTTGGGGCTGTGGCCGTTCAGGAACGCTCAGTGAGCGCTGTAGTTCCTCGCGGACTACGTCTTCGAGAGAGGCGACTTGGGGCTGAGACGATGGCAACATGCGGCGCAGTTCTTCACGAACAATAGCGCGTATGGTCTCGCGCAGGTCGTCGGGGCAGAGTTCTCGGACTTCTGCGACGTCTGGCGACATGCGCCGATCGTATTGGCTGGTCCGCATTTCAAGAGTCTTCTCGATGGTGGTAGCCTCGGAGAGGAACTCTTGTACCGTCTTTGGCGGGGTTCTGATCAGTCCGGCGAAGAGCTCCTGCTTCACTCCTCGCATAAGCAGGCGAACCTTCTTGTCCTCAGACATGTCGGCGTCGGCGTGGCGGAAAAGTCGCGTCATCTCCTCCGTGAAGATCGTTACGTTTTCGTTGGGGAGCCGCACCCGAGTTTCAAGGAGTGATGTGGCTCTTTCCTTCCGCACGACGCTTGCAAAGGTGCGCAAGAAAGCAACGCGGAAGTCGTCCCAGGTTCGAAGCGTTGACTCGCGGTTCTCGAACCAAGTCCTTGCGGCGTCTTCCAGGTAAAAATACACATGACGCAGCTTGTCGTCCGGGTCCCACTTATTGAGGGCTGCGACGCGGTCGTAAATGTCAAGCCAGCTTGCCGGGTCTTCGTAGGTCGATCCGCGGAAGGTAGGCGGCTCTTTGGGCTGGTTGACGACCATGGTTGCCGAAGACCTTGCTTCCGTCATCGTAGATGCCGGCTTCGCAGCAGCCTTTGTTTTCTTGTCCTTGTCGGGGAGCGGCAGGTATTCGGGCGGTAGTCCTTGTTGTCTTCGGCTCACTCGAACGACCGGGTCGGCGTCGTCCTCTTGGCGGCTTGGGCTTGGCTCACGGCTGGACGGGGGCGTACGGTACATGGACCGAGAGGTACGTCCACCAGATGTCACGAGGTTGTGATACACGCAGCACTTGAGAGGAAGCACGCAGGAGTCAGGGCGGTGTCAGGCGAACTGTTTATTGGGCGAACTTGTGCCCAGCAAAACAGGGCCAAACACAACTCACAGCAACAGCGGCGTGAACAGTCGTCGGCCGACGGAAAAAAAAGACCCCCAGTGGCGCACTGCGCCGGCTTTTTATACACGCGTCGTAACGCGTTTCAGAGTGGCATACATGATAAACGCGGCCTGCGTTGCGCTTAACAGAAAGTGATAGCGGCTTTCTTCGTAAGCCAAAAGAACCGCACGTGTCAATATGGCATCGTGACGTTTAGTGACGTCGCCATCTCCATTTTTTTCGCGCATTTTACCGCTTACCAAGCGTTTCTGTAGGGCGAATGAGATGATTTCAGAATTTCCATAAAGTATTTACTTGTATTTATTTTTTCCCTTTTTCATTGTCTCTTATTTGCTTATCAAATACCCTAGTTGTCAAACTATACACCAAAATTGGCTGTCGGCGTCACCACAAGCGACGCGAGAAACTATCACAAATGATAGTGTCACCATATCATGTCTTGATGACATCGATTATCGCCGAAATTTGTGACGTCATGATGTCACTGGAGCGTGACATTAAAAAACATAGCATGAGGACGTCACACATGAGACCACCACTTGATCAAACGTTGGCAGATCACACAGGCAGTGCAAAACCTGGTGAGGAGCAGAGGGCATTCGCAGCTGGCCGGGGACGGAGCAATACAACGATACGTAGAAAAAAAAGGCGATTGTTTTCGCGTTCAATCGTCATAGGCGAATGCATGAGAGACTTTGTGTGAGTTATATTCGTGATGTAGAAGTTATTCCTCAGTACTCGTGCGTGTTTTACAATTCCGCCCTATCGAAAAGCCGGACCGCTTACCTCTATTCAATAACATCCTAGCCACCATGTGTTGGTGCCCGGTTGCTGTAATGGAATGCCGGTATATGCATTCAATCCTAATTCAAACAGCATTACTTTCATTCGTACTGTCACTAAACTGTGCGCCTAATACAAAAAAAAACATTCTTGTTTGCAACAATTTAATTACGTAGCTTGCGGTGGGGTCAATATTCGGCACTCGAATTGTGTCAGACAAATATGGGTGTATTGGCAGAAAGAAATAAAGAAGAAGGGTCAGCTCTAGCATGTGCATATACAGTTTATTGAAGAAAGCGATAACGCGAAGGCTCGTTAGCTGTCTAAGTGAGGTAGATTGGGAACTGCAATATCTTAGCTGAATTATTCGAAATCAACTTGTTATGTCAAACGCATTAAACAAAGCATGAAAGGACTAAAGCGTCGTACATCCCTTCGTCATGTTATAAAAGAAACGCACGCACCACGTTTTCAGTAAGCTCATTATATCCATAGCATTTGAGGTGCACTCTCAGAGCACTTTACAGGTTTCTAGCCGAATAGTGAATATCCCGTATACAAGCTGTGGTCCATGTCATGAATATCCGGCGAATGTACTGTTGCAGCACGCGCATCATGGAGTAGCAATCCACTATTATAACGGGCATAGAGTGTTACATTCTGACCAACAGCCTCAGTTCATCTCAATTACACATGGCTCCATAGGTCGAAAAGTATTTCCAAAACAAGCGTACAAATCAGCACTACGCACGGTGCGAGGGAAAACAACCTTGCCAGTATAAAGTCTTTTTCCTGTGAGGTGTAAACTAACATGCAAAAATTTTCTAGAGTGGAGTGATAAGGCATATAACCTGCAAAGTGTTGCTTCATACATCCTGGATAGTTTGCTCAATTAGGCAATTGCCTAATTTAGTGTTTGCTCAAGCTGACTGCCAGTCTTCATGCTTAACTGCGCCCATGAATTAGTTTGCAACGGGGGAGTTGGTAGCTTCTCTGATTTCCAGAACACCCATTTTAGAAATTGATGAACTCAGCCTTTCACATATCTTATCAAATAAATATAGCAGTGCACACCACTGGCGTACCCATGGGGTGGCACACCAGGAGCGTGCTCCCCCCTCTCGGTTTTTTTTTTCGGAATGACATACACTGCCAAATTACTATTGCATATAGGTGCCCCCACCCACCCAAGAAAAAAATTGTGCCAACGCCCATGCAACACGAATAAGGTCCCATTATTCATTAACCGTAGGGGCCAACTGGCGTGTGCCCATGTGTTAGATCATGCGAAACAAAAATAGGCAAGCGTGGCAGCGCAGACTGAATATTTATGTACAGTCCAATATTCATAAACTGAAGGATAAAGATGCCGAGAAGAGAGAGAGAACAAAGTTGAGTGAAAGACAGAGAGGCTAACCAAAAGAAAATTTCCGGTTTGCTACCTTGCTATGAGGAAAGAGAAATGGGCATGAAAGGTATGGTGGCAAAAGATGCCGAGGAGGCGATGAAATGGGCAGCAGTACAAAAGAACAGGCTTTATTTTTGCTAGAAATGTACTGGCAATTAAAATGCTGTCACAGCTTAACAATTTTGGTGAGCTAAATACAGAGAAATATTTCATAAGGTCAAGCTCATTTGCTTCCTAATTGAGTACCCTACAGCTGTAGAAGAAGTCCCTTTTGTTTAAAACGTGCCCAGGTTATCTTACTATTTTCGCATCTTTCGAAGTCACTATGTTCTGCCTTTCCTCTTGCTGACTGTGGACTAACAACTTTTCACATTACTCAAGCCACGAAAGTTGCGTGAGTTAGCACTACTTGAAGGCATCCTTTTGTGGTCGCAGTAATTTCAGTTATCCTGAAATCACCACACAGTCTGAAACTACTTCAAGCACATCTCTTCAGTGTACATCATTGCTGCCAATAGTTATTTAATTTTGCTTTTATTTTCTGCAGCTAATCAGGAGTTACTGGGAACGTCTTGGAGATGAAACCATTAAAGAGAAGTTATCGAGACAGCCTGTCACCAATCTTGCCAAAAACGTTGTGCTATTCTTGGGTGATGGCATGGGTGTGAGCACCGTCACTGCGGCTCGTATCTACAAAGGACAGTCCAAGTACAATAACAGTGGCGAAGAGTCTGTTCTTTCGTGGGAACGCTTCCCGTACGTGGCCCTGTCAAAGACGTATGGACTTGACACCCAGACATCTGACTCGGCGAACTCTGCAACCGCCTATCTTTGCGGAGTCAAGGCCAACATGGGCACACTGGGTGTAGACTCAACTGTTAAGGTACGTCGTTCAGCCATTTTAACAATCGTGGATAGTGAAGAAAAAATAGAACAAGTGCAACAAATGGGACCCCAAATCCGTATATATTTGCCCGAAGCAAAATTCTTTCAAAACGTGCGTAACGTATTTTAAGCAGTATTTGTAACATTGCCACCCCCCGCCTTACTGTAATTTTGCATACTCAAGAACATGAAAAGGGAACATCATTAGAGACAACGATATCCACAGTGAACGCATACAGAGCTATTGACATTTTAACTGCGCAGTACTTTCACGGTCGGCTCTTTATGCTGTAGAAAGCGGTCGTAGGCACTTGGTGTAATTCTCCATTTGTGTTATAATAATCGCGCTCACGCATTTGAGAAGGCAGAAGAAGAATATAATGTCCTGTACTTGATTGGTCATTTTCACTTCCCTTACCAGGTTTTCTTCCCTGTCTTTCTGATGTAATTTATGGCAATAATGTTAGCTTTGCGCAAGGTAAATACTTCTATTCCAGTCGTAGCAATAACAATGGACTCATCAGTGTGCTCTTCTCAGTCCACATTTGGTTGCTCACCCATACTGAAAATTTTAAAATAATTTGATCCCTGTCATCTCTTGAGTATTCATTTAATCTGGGCACCAGGGCACAAAGATATTTTGATAAATGAAATGTCTGACTCTCTTGCGAAGGCATCACTTTCGGCACCGATCACTCCTATTTTCCCACCTACAGTACATATTACGGTGGCGCAATCGCACATGCTTAAAATGAAGCAAAATTTATCAGACGCTGCACTGATGGCTTCTCCGGAGTACCAGATCTTGTTATTTATCTGGCGCAGCGAACTGTCTAATTCAAGGAGGATGGAAGTTTTCTTCACAAAGTTTTGTTGCCGCGTTATCTCCCTCGGCTTTTACACACAGTGATCTGGTTTATTGATTTCCTTATGTGCAATTACTGTAATCAAGAGGAAACAATTAGTCATTTTTCATTATTTTGTCACCGTTTCCAGTTATAAAGAAAAAGCATATTGGCACCATCTCTTCAAAAATTGGGCTTGCAATTATCAGAGCCTGCTCGTCTTTCTTTTGGAGCCTCTACCCTTGGGTACAGCCACAGGGAAGTTTTATTCGCCGTTCTGGAATACATCATTGCGACTAAAAAAGTTTCTTGCGAAGTTGTGGGCTCACGGCTTTTTTTTAATTTGGAATGGACATTTCAAATCATAATTACATAACTAGCCTTTTTACGAATGAAGCAATGCAGTGAGTATCGGGCGAATTCACCTTATAATCAGCCAATATCCTCCTTTGGGTATGAGCCATGTGCAGAGGAAAACAAGAAAAACAACAACTCCTTCCCAGTTGCTAGAAATTTTATGCCAATTTTTCATGCATGTAAGCTGACGGCGATGAAGATTAGGCCTGAAGTAGGTAGCGCCCCAGTTAGTGGGTGATCAAGAACAAGCTTCTGTAATCGATTGGATCATCGGACTGACCAACTCGTTACGCAATTCACATCGTGTGACGCCTGGTGTTTTCTTTGCTGTTCTAAAACACATTATAGTTAAGCTTTTCGCCACATCAAGCCTGCCTAACGCAAGTTAGCGAGCGAGTTTCAAGAACTGGTGTGGCTCAGTGGTAAAATACTGGGCTGACACTCAGCAGAGTCGGGTTTGAATCCCGTTGTGTCTCTCGGTTTTCTTACCTACTGCGCTAGATTCCACTATATCTCATTTCATGCGACAGTGGTTGCAGACACCAGAGGATGTGGTGGCGGACAGCTACGACAACGCATGTGACCCGTGTTGTGATCTCGTAACAACTTTTGCTGTAAAAAGACAGGAAAAGACATGACTGGTGCTCAGTGATGCGAATAAGTATAGCACAAAAAGTTGCCGTCACAGAATTAGTGCTTATTTTGAGGAAATATGAGAGTTTGTTACATATATTCGTATTTGACAGCTATAGCATTGTTTTACGTGGATCTACCCACGCTGACGCCAGGTGGTGCATCTTTGTTGCGACGAAGAAAGCCCATATGTTACCGTTATATTAGATGAAGTGGCTAACATATGCCGGGATAAAGCGTTTCGCGAATCTCGCGCAAAGTTAACATCAACAAGCACACATTTAACACTGATACTTGATATAGACTTCTTGAAAGCGTCGTCATTTAGGAAGCTAAACGACACAATATGCGCTTCCGAGTAATATGTTAACCTAATCCTGCGCTCATACATGCACTACCACACTGCAGTTAACCATGGAAAACATCTTCACATCTTCAGGAGTGAAAGCGAGCAGGCGGGCCACATCGCGCAGGCTTATATTTAACCCTTGCAAGGCTCGACATTCGCCCGTCGACAACGTTGCCTTTCTGCGGCACTTACTGCAGCAGTTTTATTATCAGCTTTGAACGCCATTAGGGTGGTGGAAGGTGCACTTTTTCAACAACGAGCGGTAGCCCGCTAACACGAAGTGAACAGAAATGAGCGTAGCTGCGCCTAGGACGACTTCCCGATGCTAGCGCAGATGGCGTTTTAATAGGCGAAGTTCCATAGGATGTAAGCCATTCACTCGTAGTTTTACGCTGTAGTAGCCACTTCTAGTTAGCTTAAAGAATTCCTCAACAGATGGGGCTGTGTGTATATGTCCATGTAAACATTATCATTACATGGCGTTAGTGGTTTTAGTATAATAAGGAATTCACAGCCTATTCATTGAGTGAATGATGATGAGTGGGGCGAAGCCTTCATCCGTCCTTCCCTACTATGCGTGCTGCGGTGTCATAGGAGTGGACAGACAGACAGACAGACAGAGAGACAGACAGACAGACAGACAGACAGACAGACAGACAGACAGACAGACAGACAGACAGACAGGACGAATCATTTTACCCCATATGTCATCATTCACTCCGTAGATATGCTGTAAGTTACTCGCTTCTAACGGGACGATTTGACCATGCCCCTTGAGAGTACGAGTTGGCGTGCTATTTAGGACTCCTTCTCCTAACTATGTCGTCGACGAAGCGTTCTCTGTCGTGCTAACAGGCGCCTTGTTGCATTATTTGTTGTCACCGCTCACAGAGGGTGGCACAACCTGATCGCCAGAAGAGATCACTGTGCGATGGAGAGTGTGTGAGGCTCATAAGACTCGCTCATTCGGAGCCCTGAAACTGTCAAGACAGCTCACTCGGTGCAACGCCGGGCTTTCAACATCGCTGCCAAGGTGTCGTACGTTCAATTAGAGGTGAACGAGCTGTGTCTTACATTTTAAAGACGATAATCCTCCTTGGGGACCTTCGACACAAAAATTTTGGTCTGCCTGGCTGTCAGTCTCTTTGTCTGTCCCCCCCCCCTTAACAGTATTGGGCAATTTAAACAGCACCAGCGGATATTTAAATGGCCGACCACATCCGCAGCGGCCACCCATGTTGCTCAAGTTTCCGCTTTCATACTTGTGCGATATTCAATTAAAACAATTATTGCGCATATCTGACGCACTCTAACAACGCTTATGTATTCTGTATGTGCATCCTTTACTAGAAAAGGCACACATAAGCTATTCTAAGGACCGTAGCGTTTATTACGCAGCGCTGACCATGCAACGCTTGCACAAAAAGGTAAGTGTTTGCAACGCTTTGCTAAGGTGACACGGTTGTGGAACCTATCTGTCGCCTTGCGTTCTACTACTTATCACTATTGAGAAAGGCGCAAATGAGACAGAAAAAAATTGGAGAGGATTTAACAAAAAGTTTATTTGATGTTCTGCGCAAGAAAATTGGTGAATGGTATTCTGGAGGCGCTGCGTTGGAGTGTCAAGAGCGTGCTGCGGAGGCGAACGAGCGCACCAAGTCACGTCACACGTGGTACATGAGCGCTATCTGGCAGTTATCTTGGAAAACGAAACGCGCGCCCCGTCTCAGAGCCGCGCGCCCGTCAATACAAAAGTTATGCTAAAGATCGTAGCGTTTATCACGTGGTGCTGACCATGCAACGCTTGCACGAAAAGGGGAGTGTTTTCAACGCTTTGCTCAGACACGGTGGTGGTACCTACCTGTCGTCCTGCGTTCTACGCCTTAATACCTCTGAGACGGGCGCGCATGCCCGTCTCAGAGCCACTCATTTCGTTTTCCGAGATAACCATCAGAATGCGCTCATGTCTCACCTGTGACGTGACTTGGTGCGCTCGTTCGCCTCCTCGGCACACTTGAAGCACTCTAACGCAGCGCCTCCAGAATACCACTTACCGATTTTCTTGCGCAGAACATCAAATAAATGTTTTGTTCAATCTCTCCAGGCGCAAGACTATAGTCTTTAGACGACATTTGCAGATTACCTTGCATATATGGGGCCAATTTTTTTTCTTTTTTTGCATTTCGCGGGTATCTCTAGCCGGCAGAAAATACTAATAATTAGCAGATTTAAAGTTATAGCCTGTGCAATGAGACGTTTTGAAAAACAATCAGTATATTTTTGCATCAAGTGTGCTTCAAAACTGTTAATTAAACGGGCCTCACCATACAAAAGCGGTACACCGACAGTGTGACTTACTTCATTCGACGGTAAGGAACAGGCATTTGTTTGCATTGTCAAAACGTTTGTCGGCATATTTTAAACTGTTCGTAAACATAGCTGAGCCGCGCTGTATACCACGCCTGTACGGAAATTAATGAATATCTTGCTTTGTTTTACGTCACAAATGTAAGTCCTTCATTTTGTGTTACCAGCTCTATCCTTCTCTGCGTGGTAGTGCATATCTTACCTTGCTAAACGTTAATACAATATTCAACTTGCACTTTTTTTAGCCTCTGACATAACCATGAACAAGCGAAAGAGTTACCACAAGTTTGCTATTCCTTTTCTGCAAACAAGTTACGATTTCAAGATATCAACCTTCTGGTACGTCCAGTCACAGTCAGGGGTTAACTTATTTCAATTAGAGGTATAACCTGTGCGTTAATGTTGATGATGACTATGTGCACACGAGACTGGGAGAAAAAAAAACACAATTTTAACAGTTAGTAAACAGCCTTCGTTTGTCACACATTTTTTGCAACTTTCTTTCTTTTTTTGTTTTCTTAGCAACTAGCTTAACAATCTTTTGCTCGATTTGAAAAAAAAAATGCTTGACCAGTACCTTCAATTATGTTTGAGAATGCTTGATACCCTTGCCGAAGTTTACGCCAGTTGTGGTTATTTATTTAGCAACACACCATCAAAAGGGTGTGTTGCAAATTGTATAAGACCTTTGAAAGATAACGCATGGCAGAGTGCGATGCCATGCGTAGGTCGAGAAGGTTCAAGAAAATGTGTGTGCAGACAGAGACTTATAATCTAGGGATAAGACACAAATCAATGTTTTAACAAATTTGAATGTCAAGCTCGCGAACACACAACTAATTCAGGGCAAGTAGCTTGAAACTACGACTTTAAATTGCTGAGAATACGGTGTTGGGTTTAATTTCACCCACTGCAATTACGTACTGATTGTTCAAGCAAAGAATGACTGGCAATGATTGCAATACAAATTGTCCTGCTATTAGGTGCTTCATATAGATATCATACTTATAATAGTTAAAACTACAAGTGTTTTCTTTTTCCAATACACCATTTCTATACTTGACTTGTATGAAATAATGACCGATGACAAGCGTCATCAATACGTGCGTCTGTTTTTGCATCATTTCTACCATAAAAAAAATAAGTGCACCAACATTCTGCAAACGCAACTGCACCGTTAACGTAAACAGGCAGTAATGCAAAGTACATTATGGGGTTCATCCATTTTTGGGTTTTCCGTTGTGTTTTTCGACGGAACAATTCCGCGATCTCTGAGCCATAACTGTGGACTTGTCGACGAGTCATTACTACCGCGTTAACAAATTGGCACACTGTGCCATCTACCTCCGCAGGCCAAACAGTGCCACAATGACAGCTCTGCGTACGTGGACAGCATCATGCAATGGGCTCAGGACGCCGGCAAGTGGACTGGTATAGTGACGACAACAGCAGTCACGGATGCGACCCCGGCCGGTTCGTATGCACACTCGGGCTATCGTAGATGGCAGTACGACGTCCCGAAAGGCTGCAATGCATCTGATATTGCCCAGCAACTGATATTGAATTCACCTGGAAAAAACATGAGGGTACTGCCACTCACCTTTCTACCACGTCTTTTTGCCGGAATTATCTGTCATAATTAAAGATCTGGCTAACTAGTGCTCCATGATGACAATTGTAATAGTGCGCAACACAAGGAACAAGAAGAAATGCAGACTGCGCTCCTCTCTGTTCGTTGTGTTGCTTCCACAATATTGCGAAAATTGCCATCCGGGGTCAGACCTCGAATGTCTTATTCTTTAGGAGATATTTCATACTGCCAAAGTGGTGTGGTAAAAGACCTATTCAGAATAAGAATCATGTGCCGAATGAATGCTTCCTTGTAATTTTAGTGCAATGAAAAGAAGAAGGCACCTTATGAAACGATATTATACAACGTTATTCGTACAAATATATATAGCTACTTTTGTTATCGTAATGAAGTCTGCCCTTGTATTAGAAGCATCGAGACACGGAATTCAAGCTCAACTTATTTTGCTCTTGCAAAGTTATCTGATGTATTAGTCTGCATGACACTTCACCCACTATTGATGGCGGCCAATATCGCACATCTCTCTAAACGAGATCTCATAAAATACATCTGTATTGACAGATGACGGACGTTAAGGACGCTATTTCGCAAATATGAAAGAGATTCGCAGATATGTTTGTGTATGCCTAGTTAATTATACTGTAGGAATATATAGGAGAAGCTAACTTTTTTTTCAATTTCATTTTGTGTTTCATCTTGCAGCAGAGAAGCTCTGAAGCTCTGCATATAGAAAATTGACGTCCACGTGTAACCTGTATGTAAAATCAAAAAGCTCAGTAGAGTTAACAATTATTGGGTAAATGTTATAGCAATGACGCCTTGAAAGTAGTTAACTATTTAAGTATAAGCAAGGACTTTACAACAGCTTTCAAACTTACCAGGTTTCCTTGCAGTTCCGTCGACGCCGTACTCTTGAGATGTTTATTGACTATTTTAGATGCAAAGCAGCCCTTTGACTAGCCTGTGTAACGCTGTCTCCGTGTCTTAGTGCCAACGCACCACACCGCGTTTCCTCCACCACAGTTCTTGGAACAACGTCAAGTAGTTAAAGCCACAGCTGCGCGTTCACGTTACTCTCGCCCTCACCCGCAGCAGCTATCAGCTCCTCCCAACACACCTTGGTGGTGTTGCTCCTACACCTACTCGCAACACACTTCTCTCTCGCTTCACCCTCTCCAAAACGCCTAACGCTCGACTGCATGTTGAGTGGGAACACTCTTTCTGCACGTTTACCTGTGATGAAACCTACTCAAAAACCAACCCGCCTTCTATGCCTTTGTGTTTCAAAGAAACGTTTACTTGAGTAAAAGCCACAATGAGTTTTCTTCAAACCGCTCTTCTTTCATCCACATCAACCCCCGTTTCAGGTGGCGGTGCTGGTATAAAACATTATAATACAGAAAATGTACCAGGAAGTTGTGGCATATTTAATGCTGAAGTATCAAAACCCTATTCTGGGACGCCAGCCCTTGCATGAGTGTGCCTCACCAAGTAGCGTTGAGCATTCAAGGTGGAGCAGAGGAGCAGACAAGCAGGTACTCCTTTCGAGCCTTTCTAGTTGAGGTGGGGAAAGGGGATAAAAAAATGGAGGGGGTGGGGCACGAAGTGACAAAGTGATAAGTGTCGGCCAGGACCTGGCAGGTTGAGCAGGTGCCACTAATTTCCGGCAAAAAAATGCTTGGTGACCGCCCCACCGAGATAGGTGTTCGTATGGACGCGGCGTAGTATTCGCTAGTCTCCTTTCCCCAGAACACGCGCTGGGTCTGGGTAGAGGCGGCACAAAGCCCGGTAATAAGCCGGAGTTTTGCGGAAGCGTGTCAGGCTCGCATTGCCAGATTCCGACTCGGGACGTTAAGGGGCAAACCTCGTTGCTCGGCAGGCCCGAGTGGCTCGAGGCCATACTATACGAATGGAGTGAGGGTTAAAACGACAAGAGGCTGCCCAAAGTAAGTGAGCGGCCAGTGGGGCGATAGAACCCTGAAGGTATTGCCAACAAGCCTAGCGTGAGTTCGTCAGGATGGTGCATGAGATGGGATGCGAGGTGGCCAAAGCAGCTGTTGCCTCCTCAGCTTGAGCCACAGTGTTCGCTCTAAAGGAGAGGCCATCGACGCGTTTCCCTCTGTGGTTGCGGCGGCCATCAAGTGACCCGAAAGTGAGGGGCCCGAGACATCCACATATAAAATGCCACAGTGATCGGAGTGTCGCGCCTGAAGTGCCACGGAACGTGCTATTCCTTAGCCTGAATGTAGCATGGGATTCATGCTCGGTGGTAGTGGTTTCACCCATAGTTTTTTGACGCCACAGATTCAGTTTCGGCGTCAGATTGTCTTGGTCAGAGATTACATTGAGGCCAAGCCTGCGTAGCAGATGTCACCCTGAGGACGTCTGCGACAGACAATTAATTTGGCTAACGCAAAGAGCTTCCCGCCACTCTGCAAAGAAGTTATGTACCGCCGGTGCCGCAAATCGGCTGTTAGAGGTGGCAATGGGAAGGTCCAGTGAACATTTGTATACTGAATGAAGGAGGACGTCCAGCTGGTGCTCATAGTCACGACGCAGGTGAAAATAAGGTGAGGCGTACAGGATGCGACTGATTTCAAGCGCATGAACCAACCAGATGGACGGAACCCAACGCAGGCCACCGTGCTTGGTAGATACCCGCCGTATCATACAGTTCACCGTACGTCGGAGGCTTGCTATTATGCCCTTGGGATCCAAACAAGGTTTGATATGTGTTGCAAATAAAAGAGGATGAAGGGGCCGCAGGCACAAGCACCAGCCACGGTGAGCTGGCACGCTCAGTTGTTCCTGTGATCTTCGATGCAGCCAGACGATTCAGTCCGGGTCCCCTTCTTCAGTTCTCACACTTCGTTCTGGTGCCGAAACCTACCCAGTCGTCTGGCCTTCTACTCTCTCCCATAGATAAACTCCGAGTACGGGACGGCTTCTACCGGACAGTGATCACAAAAGACATTTAGATGCTCGACGCCATTCTGGCTGAATTAACGACCCCCACTTTAAGGCTCCAGGAGCTCCTCACAATTAAAGTCGTGAAACAACCCACCTGATGAACCTCGGCAGAAAGGTCCTGGCTTACCTTCACTACGAAGACTTGGAAGTTGACTTGATCACAGCCAGCCACTTCGAGGGCAAAGTCGTTAGTGCTTAAGAGAGAGAGAGCCACGCCTCCGAGTCATGGCTACCAACCCCGCTCGCATCGGCTTCCGTCACTACTACTGCACTCTGAAAGCATCTCGCATTCACGTCGCCGCCCGCCGTGACGTCGCCTTCGATCAGCCTTTCAACCCTTTTCGCCTCGACATTGGGGCAGGCCGCAACTTCGCCTTCGACAGGCCTCTTGACCCCTCTTGGATCGACGTCGCCATGGGCCGCAACTTCACTTTCGATCGGCCTATCGGCCCCTCCCGCATCCACATCGAAGGCCGGGATCTCGCCTTCCAACGACCTCCTGAACCATCTCGCCTCAACTTCGGACATGGCCGCAACTTTGGTTTCGACCAACGTCTCGACCTCTCTCCTAACCACACCACAGTAGGGATCAACTTCGCTTGCGACCGGCCTCACGATTCCTCTCGCCTTGATATCACCGCAGGCCATGACTTCGCTTTTGACCAGCCTCAGAACTTCTCCCGCATTGACGTCGAAGCAAGTGACAACTTCGCTTTTCAGTGACCTGCCGATATCAACATCAACCAAACTCGAATGAGTTTGGAGCGCACGCCGAAAGACCTGCCGCTTTCCACGTGATGCATGGCGCTTCAGAGCAAAGACTCGTCTACAAGGTGCGCCATGGAAATCTCGTTGTCCAAGGGAGACCCCGGGTACACCATGCGCATCAACCACAAGTATTTTCTGTGGCCTGAGCTGCAGCTTCCCTAGACAGTCTTTCGTCCCAGACGAAGAGGGCAAACGAACGCCCTGCCCGTCACGCAGCCTAGTGCAGGCGCAGAGTCGCGAGCAACAGTGCCGTTAAGAGCCGCACTCGATTGATGACATGCATCCCATGACCGTCTACGACGCCACTGAACATCACATGAACATGGCGCCTGACACCAGATACCTGCACCTGATGTACAATCGCTACACGATGCAGCCCCAGGACTATGCTTTGTGCCTCATAAAGGAAACCGGTAGAAACGAGGACTCTCGCGAAGCGTGCATAGCATGATGGACCAGTCATCTGTAAACTCCAGCAGCAATGTCTATAACGATGCCTCCAAAACACAGCCATGACTCAAACTCATGCAACCGAAAACGTCAGTTCGATGTGCGCCATGATTCGTGATACCGTGACGGATACCGACAATTCGCTACCAGCCACAGAGCACGTGAATAAATTTTCGGTGCCTTCAAACGTGGCCGAGATTACCTTCGTCGGCGAGGGCACTGTCCAACAGAACCAGATTGCATCGGCACCGTCGTCATCGTCGTCATCCTCGTCAAGCGAGGAAGAATCGTGATCGACTTCAGAATCTTCATGCAGATTCCTTGCGCATGTGTGCTCCAATCGGATACACTTGTGTGGCAGTGATGGCTCTAAGTACTTCGCATGGCTAAGAATCTTCCCTTCGAAGATATTAGCTTGACGTACGTAATTGTTCATGAGGCCCAGGCAGACTCCGAAACATCACTGCTGACAACAGCGCACGTGAAAGAGTCTCCGACATCACCGAAAGCGCCCGAATACCCCTGCTTGATGGGGCCGCTTCACGAAAAAGGAACAATGCTTCTGCGCCATCTTCGTTCTCATCGAGCGAGGAAAAAAATCCCCGATACCGGAGTCTTCATCCAGCTGCAATGTGATTTGGAACCAAGCACACGTGACGAACTTCTTGACCCCCCCCCCCTTCCCGCCCACTCCGCAGTAGACATGCAGCAAATGATCACGCAGCCGCTACAGAAGCTTTATATCTAACACTAAGAGCAGAAGACTAGCATCACTTGCAAAGAGCGCGCAAATTTTTGGGAAACCTC